GTGACTGTATGTTACTTTTTAATAATAAAAAAAAAAGAGACATTTAACTTAGAATAGTGACACCATGTCACTTTTTTTTTAAAATAAAAAAGTGTCACTTTTTAATAAAAATTGCTACTTAATTTTACACCGTATTTTTTACTTTCAAAATACTTTTTGTATGATATTTCAAAAGACCCCCCTAATTTTGAAAATATTTTTGTAAGTTTCCCCCAATAATTTGCTTAAGGCACCCAAATTGCTTGAGTGGCCTCTATTGCCCTCTCCCATCTCCATTTTAACAATTATTATATACTATACAATCGTTATTGGATGAATTAAAGGTAAAAAACACGTTGAACTAATGCTATCCGGCCCAAACTAATTGATTGTATGTGCTTTGGTGCACAATATTTGTCAAAATTGAACAAAGTGAATAAAGTTCTTTAACTATTTCTTTAATGTTGAAAGAGAGAATTTGCAATTGGTGTCCCCAACGTTAGCCGTAGGTGCACCTCTGATCCCATTCAAATTTTTGTAATTTTTCCATCCTCAAACCTACAATTTAGGTGTATGTTCGTTCTTTTAGATGGAATTCATCCAAAGTTCTATTGTGTTACATGCCTATCATTTTTAGGGTATTTCAATCAAGTCATTTTATTCAGAAAAAGACAAGTGAAAGGAAACAAATTGAAAAAAATCACATCATTTCCATTCGTGCAATTGTCTCAATCACTACAGTCCCACCACTCCTTGTTGCACCATATCCCAACTCTACATTCTTTTCGGAGGGGACCAAGTGGGTTTTACAGAACCACGATGTGATTCTTTTCCCAAATTTTGTTTGACACCCTCTTCATTTTGTCGAGTAAAAATGAAAGATTTCGATGTAACAAGGGGGTGAATCAATTGGGGTTGGTGGGGTTGATTATATGATGTTGAAGGTTCACTATTTCTTTCATATATATACTTTCTTTTAGTTAATTAATGGTTTTTGAAGAAAAATAATGATATTTAGCACTAATAGTATTAAAATACCAGTATCTATGATATTGTGTGATAGATTCAATTTCCTATTTGACAAGAATTAAAATTTAGATTTTAATCTAAATCAAAGTCAACACTAACCCTCCCTGTTGAAGAAGAAGAAGAAGCCAATTTCGTCAAAAATAAACACCGAGTGACAGTGCCACCACCATTAGAGACTCGAACCATGGGTGAAGAAAGCATCGGCACCATTAGAGACTTGAACTGTAGGTGAAGAAAACGCTGACACTATTTTGACTTTATTTAGATTTTTAGGGAATTTTCGTGCTTTGTATGTGTTGTATGTATATGGATTTCCATACTATGTCCTAATTTTGATGGGTATTTATAGGGCTATGGCAGCCATTTTTATGATTTTGGAGTTTCATGTCATGCTGCTATACTAATCCTTTTTTTCACGGTCATTACTGGATTTTATGCATCAATTATGCTGCCAATTTGAGTGCACTCTATTTTCATATCCCTTCATTGTGTTGGATTCCACCTTCAATTGATGAGATGAACAAAGCAGGCGTCGTTCTCTAGTTTGTGGAGTTTCTTAAAATGGTACTTGTGCCTCAGCTGCAAGTTAGTTCTACGTGTGGATTTTTTGTTTTGTATTAACTACAATGTCTTGTATAGACAAATCGAAAAATTGAATTCTAATATTGAAAAGACGGGAATTTGAAGGGTGTTTTTGGCTTCTGTTTTATTGGTTGTGGGATGAAGTTCACTGAGAAAGATTTGGCCTCGAAGGGAAAATCCGAATGAGAAAACAGTGAATTAACTGACCTTTTGTTCATGCCTTCTGGTTTTGTAGATGAATTTCCAGCTATCCATGATTTATGGGTACGAAAGGGCACCTACCAATGACTAAAATGCCTTGATGAAAGCAATTGCAAATATGCCGCAAACACTATCATTTTGTAACGAAGATTCGTCGTTATAATTCGCATCTGTCATCGCTTTCTATAAATCCCACCCTCTATTCTCCCCTAGTCTCTAAACCAATTTTAACCACCTGAAAACATATCTTGTTCACCATTTTCTCTCTTTGCCACGAATTCCCATTTCTTAGGTAATCATCTTCTTTTCTCTATAATTCCAATGGAACCCTATATTTCAATTTTCTTGATTGCTTTTCTATGTTATTACTAGTCTATTGGTCCTGAGAATCCTACTTTCTTTTGTTTCTTTGAAATGACTTCAACCAAATTTGCCATGAATGTTTTGTTTTCTATTGGTATTTTGTCACTTTTTCGAATGTTTGTAATTTTTTTTAAACGTTTGTCACTTTTTTGAAGTTTGTCACTTTTTTCTATCACATTTTTTTATTGTTTGTTACTTTTTTTTTTAATTTATGTCACTTTTTTAGTGACAAATATCA